TTTATACGTACACGTATACGTACATACATACATACAAATATATTACACGTAATTACACGTAAAATATTCTTTGTATATGCTTATATCATATATGCTTATATCATCATCATCATCATCATCACTAGTTCATGAATTTTATTTGATGAGGAATTCATATCGATTCGAACAAATCGTTATGTCTTCCGTTTTCCTCTTTTCTTCTCCTTTTTCTTTTTTTTTTTATTTCCATCGATAATAGTCTTTTTTCAATTTAACAGCACAGCAACTCTATATTCCGGCCTATTCTTTCTTGGCTAACAACAGGAAAAAAAAAAAAAAACCTTTAAAATGTTTTGGTAGCCTTAAGCTGTACACTTTGATACATCATCATTCTAGCATATTCATCAAATTTCATTTTCTTTTTATAAAAATTTCACTATTTTATATTTCTATGTATGTGTGTGTATGTGTATGTGTGTATGTATGTATATATATGGCTGTGTATGTATGTATGTATGTATGTGTGTGTGTGTGTGTATGTGTGTGTGTGTGTGTGTGTGTGTGTGTGTATGTGTGTGTGTGTGTGTGTGTGTGTGTGTGTGTGTGTGTGTGTGTGTGTGTGTGTGTGTGTGTGTGTGTGTGTGTGTGTGTGTGTGTGTGTGTGTGTGTGTGTGTGTGTGTGTGTGTGTGTGTGTGTGTGTGTGTGTGTGTGTGTGTGTGTCCTACATACTTTTCATGAATTTTATGAATATCCCAAAAATATAGAGATAACATCATCATTCTAGCACATACATCAAATTTCATTTTCTTTTTTATAAAAATTTCACTATTTTATATTTCTATGTATGTGTGTATGTGTGTGTATGTATGTGTGTGTGTATATATATGGCTGTGCATGTATGTATGTATGTGTGTGTGTGTATGTGTCCTATATACTCTTTATGAATATCCCAAAAATATAGAGATAACATCATCAACATCATTGCTTTTTTTTTTTTTTAAACTTCAACAGTTCTCAACAAATTATATATTATACGCCTACACACACACACACCCACACATACATACATGCATACATTTATGTATATAAATACATACATACATACACACACATACACATACACATGCACAAATACACGCATATATTCACGTTTAATTGATATTGCTAAACAGCATCTTCTAAATGTTAGTATAGGTGTTCTGATTTAAAAATTTTTTTTCGAATTTGATTCATTTCTTTTTTAAAATCAACAATTTTTTTTTTTTTTGTAAACGTTATTTTTATTAAGTTTGGAAGTGACGTACGAGATGTTTGTTACGTGTTACGTCACTTATACCTATGTATCCACACGTAATATATCCTTTCTTTTCTTTAAATAATTATTTATTAGTAATATATTCATATAAACAATGGTAAAAATAATAAAAATAAAAGAATAAGTATATTATCATCAAAATTTTATCTTTAATTGTATGAAATATTTTGAGAAGAATTAAGCACATAAACTTTATGAAAAAAAAATGTTACGTGAAATACGTGAACGATACGCTAAGATAATTACAAAGTGTTAATAATTATTTACAATAATTTTCCTTGATTTTTTTTTTTTTTTAACTAATCATATTTAGTTATATGTACTCATGTAATAATTGATATTTGATTACATATACTTTATCTATCAAAAATTATTCATTCATTAAGAAATATTATTAAACTCTTAAAAAAAAATAAAATTTCAAATGCAAAATTATATATTCAAGCAAATTATATATTATTAATGAAATTATAAAAGAAAAAAAAAATAAAGAAGATAGAAAACTGAAAAATTTTATTCATATTTGTAAATGTTAATATCATATTGAAAGTGTATTAATCTATTTTAAAGTTATTATCATTGATATATTCCATTATTTTTTTATATATTAATAAACAAATGATAGTATTCATACAATATTCAATTCATAAAAAAAAGTTTTAAAATTAAAAATGTGATTACCGTAGGAAGAAGATTTCAGATTAGCTTTTAAGCATAATTTAAATGTCAATATATAAGGAAAGATGAAAAGTGTTATATTCATTATTGCATTACTTGTTTACTATTTTGGTTGTTTGCAAGAAAATTGTTAAAGTGACGTATGTTTTAAATTTTTGCAATTGTTTATCGCTTTTTCTTTTTATATAAATATGTGAAAATTTTAAATAAGAAAATGAAATCAATTAAAATGAAGAATGAATGAAATAATGTTTCCAACTATTCTTTTAAGTATGCTTTTAAAATCCATCTTCATACTTCTTTTTTTTTTTTTTCTAAAAATATTTTTTAAAATAATTTTCTATCTCATCACAATTGCTAATCATTTAATTTATTCATTAGAAAAGAAAATATTATGCTATTAGATAGTTTTGAAATTTTTAAATGGCATACAAAAAAAAAAAAAAAAACTAAAAATAATAATAATAATAAATGATAATAAAAATAGACAAAATATTGTTTATAAAATTTGTCTAAAAGCATTGTAAATAATTTCAAACAGTTTATACCATTCAGAACAAAACAATTAAAAGTAATAATACAAAAAAAAAAAACTAAAAATAATAATAATAATAATTAATAATAAAAATAGACAAAATATTGTTTATAAAATTTGTCTAAAAGCATTGTAAATAATTTTAAACAGTTTATACCATTCAGAACAAAACAATTAAAAGTAATAATAATATTTTTATCCAATCAATATTGCAACACAATGATTTATAATTTATATTTATATTTTAAAAAGTAAATTATATCATTTTTATCTCGTCTATTTCACTTCTTTTTTTTTATTTTATTGAAAATATCATATGTTATTGTTATTTCTTTCCTTTTATTGTGATAAATAAAAAAGAAAGAAAAAAAAATGGAAAAAATTGATTATGATTCATCATTTTTCCTATTCTTTCTATTCTTGTAACTATTATATTTGATATGATATGATATGATACGATGATATGATATGATGTGATACGATGATATGATGTGATATGATATTTTTCTACTCTTTTCTCTCTTTGTTATCCATTTTTATAAACTTTTTTTTTCATTCATTAAATGTTAAAATTTTTATTTAATTAAAATATAATCAAAAAGCATTAGTAATAATTTTCAAAGTATTGCTAAGATTTTCTTTTTTCTCCCAAAAGTTTCATATTAATAAAAAAAAAAAGGAAAAAAATATTTTAATACTTTGATTTATCATTTTCCCTATTCATTCTATTCTTGTAACTATCATATTTGATATGATATGATACGATGATATGATATGATATGATACGATGATATGGTATGATATGATATGATTTTTTTCTACTCTTTCCTTTTTTTTTCTCTATTTTTCTCTCTATCATAATTTGATATCGATAGCTTAATAAAGTGAAATATGTTATTAAAAAAATGTTTTGTTTAATTTTCTCAAAAAATTCCATATTAATATAATTTTTTCTTTCTTTTTTAATTTTTTTTTTTTTTATTAATTTTCTCAAAAAATTCTATGTTAATATAATTTTTTCTTTTTCTTTTTTATTTATTTATTTTGTTAAATCAATACAATTAGGATAGAATTATGTTTACATTATATAATTCATAATGTAATTTCTAATTTTACAATCGATTCATTCAAAACTGTAAATCAAAGATTGCAAAGATTACATTAAATCAAAGATTACAAGAAATGATTGATTAAAAAATCCATTTTTCATTTTCATTAAAAGTTTAACTTTTATTTTTTTGAAGCTAAAATACATATATTTTAAAGGAAAAAAAAAACAAATTAAAAATCAACAATTTGTTTATAATATAAAAATTTTTTGCTAATATTTTATTTTGCTAAATTGGTAAAAATAATATTTGAAAAGTTAAAAGTAAAATAGAGAGAGAGAGAGAGAGAAAGAAAGAAAGAAAGAAAAGAAAATTTAGTTAAAAAATTGAGTGAAGAAATTGTGTTAATGAATAATTCTGAATGAAATCGAAAAATTCTTCATTTCAAATTTCTAAATTGCAATTTCGTTCCCACTTTTTTCTCCTCCTCTCTCTCCCTCTCTCTCTCTCTCTCTCTCTCGCTCTGCTTGTTAAAATAATACATAATGAAAAAGTAATCACTAACCGTTTCGCTATCCATTTCTCTGCTAAAAATCAACTCATCACTTTTACTCTCATCGTCGAGAATTACTACATTCATGTAATTCTCTCAATAGTACTCTTATCATCTATCGTTTCCTCATCTACTTCACTATCTTTCCACTCTCAATCTCTAATAAATGTATTTTTTGAATTTTTTGTCGTTTGTCAAAAAAAATCTCTTTAAAATTAACACTATTTCCTTATATGACATTATCTTTGCCAATAAATTAACGATTTAATACATCGTGAAAATGTTCCATCTCACTTGTATCAATTGTTTGAGTGGTTGATAAGCTTTGACGAATTGGAAGAAGGTTTTGTGATAAGAAAATGGCTTATCACCTCGATATCATTTTGTCCTAAGAGCAACAGGAAGATAACAATTGATACAAGTAATATTTTTGTCATTAAGAGATGACAAACTCTCTCTCTCTCTCTCTCTCTCTCTGTCTCTCTGTCTCTCTGTCACATTGTTAATCATCAAATTATCTATTTGATATTTATAGATTTTTTAATTAATTCAATGATAATATTTTAGATAAGCCATTGCTTTTAATTAAATTTTAATTCCAAATTTTCTATGTATTTAAGTGTAAAATTGTTATAATTAAAATTATGCAAATATCAATAAAATTTATACTTCTGGTAGCCATTAATATTTTCTTCTATTTTATTATTTTCTAGGTGTTTTGGTACTGGAAAAATTGTGAGTCGATTTTATACTATAATTTTGCATTCTATTCTTCATCTCAATGATATTCGACATGATTCGATGGAAGTTTCTCAGAGCTATTTGATACTTTTATATTTTTGTTTTTTTTTTGGATTTTATAATATTTTTATTTTTAACGATCTATAATAATGGTTCTGCGACCGTTAGAATTTGCGGATTGCCTTTCGGATACTCCGTGGTTTCGGCAAAATTTACGTGAGCATGAAAGTGTTTTGGAAGATGCTCATAAAAATATCAAAAATATCGAAATACAATGCCGTGAACTTATTCATTGCACAAGAAGTAAGTTTTACTGTTTTCACATATTTAAGTTTTTATTTTTTACATCTTTTGTATTCTCAGTTACCTTTGTTTACACTATTCTGGTTCCAGTTTTTCATTTTTCTTTCTTTTCAATTTTTATCATTTCTTCATCCTTTTTTTTCTTTTGCGTTTTCCTTTTTCTTTTTTAAAGCTAAGAGGAACTAGAACATAAATAAAACAAATATTTGGCTGAAAATACAAATATTTAGCACTTAGTTTTGATATCACATCAATCCATTAATTTATAGTTTAAACTTATTTTTTCATTAGATTAATTTAATTAAACTATCTTTTCTTCATTTTCCATATTATATAATATTTGTAAATGTCGGGAAAGTCTAGATTAGAATTTTATAGATGACGATTTATACATACATTTTTTTAGTATGTATCAGAATAGAGAAGATATGAAATATAATTCATAATTATTTTGCAGAACTTTCCGTGGCTCAAAGAGCATTTGCAAAATCATTGAAAGAATTTAAATTTGTCACAATTGGTAGTACTCAGACAGATGATGAACGAAAAATAGGTTATTTTTTTCTTCTTAATTCTTCATTATCTATTCTACCCATACTTTTATGATTTGATGAAAGATAATGTAGTTTTAGATGCTTTCATACATTTTTATTGCTATATAATGTTAATATAGAATGATAGATAATTTTTTTTGTACTTTGTAGCTATAGCTGCGTCATTGCTTATAACTGTAGCGGTGAATAAAATAAAATAAAGCAATGAAATACGACGTTGATCTATTTTGTGACAGAATTTCTACTATTGTATAAGTAATTTATAATTACTGATAAATTATCATAATAAAAGCTTAATTGATATATTAGATTTGCAGCTGAGTGTGTAAGCAAATTTGGAGATTTTATAAGTCAGATCGAGGATCATCGCGAAAAAATCATTGAAGATTCGGAAATTCATTTTATCGAACCATTACGTAAATTTCGAGTAGAAGGAATTGGCAAGGTTACTTTTGATTTATGAATAGCGATTGCATTCATGTTAAATGCATGTTTGCATATTTGGATGACTAGTCTGTAGATCAAGGTAATATTACTTGTTCTTTGTCAAATTAATGTTTCATGCTTAATTTAGGATAAGTATAGTTTCCAAGAATTTCAAATTCTGTCAAGTCTTAATGCTATTACAAGATAATCATATGTGTCTTTCAAAAATGCAAGTTAATTTAGGTATTACATGATGATAAAAAAAGATACGAAAAGGAATCCAATAAATTTTATGCATCACTCGAAAAACATTTGCATTTGTCAACGGTAATTTTTTCCTTTTTTTATTATCTTCTGACTTTTATAGGCTGTTATTTTTTTTTTTTTGTAAAATTTAATTTCCTGCTATATCTCTTTTTTCATTAGTAAACTTCTATTTTTGCTAGCAAAAATTAAAAAATCTTCCCTGATAAAATCTTTTCTAATTAAAATTTCCACCACGATTTGAAATAACTTTGAAAGTATGAGAACATACAAAATACTTGGAAACTCCAGATGAAGATTATAAAACCATTTGCAACGTATTTAGGAAATCTATTGTTAAATTATTCTTTAAATTGAAAATTTAAAGGCACGAAAAAATGATTTCAAAGAAGCAGATGCCCAACTGGATATGCAGCAGCGGAATTTCTGTAGCTGTTCGCTGGACTATGTAACAGCGATACAAGCGGTTCAAGAAAGGATGAAATTTGAATTTGTAGAGACGCTATGCTCGTTCGTATATAGCTGGCTTACTTTTTATCATGTTGGTAAGTGTTAATGTTTTTCACATATGAAAATTTTTTTCTTTTTTACAGGGATGTAATAAAAATTATTTATGTTTTATTAAAATTTGTATTGCTTTATGCTTCTGGGTGTCACTGTAAAAAGCGTCGTTTCTCATTGTCAAGCAATAAAATCATTGTTGTCAATGATAAGAATCTTTTTAGGTCACGTAACACATGAGGATTTCAAGCCATTTCTAAGTGAAGTGCAGTCAAAAGTTCAAAAGGTCATATTTTTATGTTTGTTTGGTTTATAGATATCCATTTTCATACTGTCTTTTATCAACAAAGATATTGGAGAGAGCACCTTATTCGTTCGAATTAATTTTGTGCGAATTTTGTTGTTAATTTTTATTGAAAATAAAGAGTAAATTTTAGGCAAAAGAAAGCTTCGAGGAAACAAAAGAATATTATGTGCAGCTCAAAGATAAAATGCTGATAAATCATTTGAAAAATGCAGTAGGTTTTGATTTTTGCAAGAATTTTAAACGTTTTATCACGAAATATTTGGATGTATTTTTCAAGCGATCCAAATATATGAAATTAGAAATGAAACTTCTAATTAAATGCTAGATTCCTTATTATTCAATGTTCAACTGTCATATCACGAAAGAGTGGAAAAGTGATTTTAGGAAATTAGAATTCATCAGATAAACTAATTACTTACTGATATTTTTCGAGGTGAGATCTAGGTTATCAGTTGCTGGGTAGATATTTCTAGGGGCAGAATTAGCAAAAAATTTAGGCAAAATTTAATACAAATTAATCTTGTGTATAAATCGACTTTACGAATTTCAGGTATTTCAAACGGGTAAAAATGACAGTGATAATGAAAATCCGACGCCTCGAACCGTTTCTAGCATAAAACAAGGCTATATTTTTGCTCATGAAAAAAGTAAAATCCCAAGTAGGTTATTTTCTATTTCTTAAAAACTTGTATTACACGAAGACATGTTTTTTGGAGGAATATGTGACATAAATCACATTATCTATTTAATACTTATAGTCACATATTTGTTTCCAGAAACAATTAGTAGAGATGTTTTGTCAAATCGATGGACTATGTATTATTGTGTATATCAAAAGGAAACACGAATATTCACAATGATTCCAGTAAATAACACAGCAAGAACGGTTAGTAAAATGCTTTAGTTATAATTTTTGGCAATTTGTTAATTATTAAAAATGACAAATGAAATTTTGGAATGATCTCAAAGCTTTGAAATGTTTTGTTTTCTTTTTTTTTTTCTAAAAAATGGTCATGGGGAACAGTAGAACTCACAAAAGTTGATATATATATTGTAAAATTCACTATTAATTTAGTTTTATTGCATATTGTAAAATAGCTCATCTTAAACTGAAACTGCCATGCAACTCTGTATAACAGTTATTCTCAAATCATATTTTATGCAATTTTTCATCCTAAATCCAGGTTCCATTTATTTTTTAAAATTCACTAATTATTTTTCTTTGTTTTATCACTTAAGGATATGAAAGGTGCGCTTGGACAATCTGTTTCTTTTAAACTGAAGACATGCACTCGAAGGGCCTCAGACAGTATTGATAAGAGGTTTTGTTTTTTTTTTTTTTTTTTTTCATAATACTATTAAAATTTCAAATAATAATGTTAATCTATGGAAATAACTCATATAATATGCATAGTTTCAATCACTAAGGTATTCTATAAATTTTACTTTCTTCATAAAATTATTTTCTAGGTTTTGCTTTGATGTCTTAGCAATGGATCGTACCGAGCAAATGACGCTACAAGCATTATCGGAAGAAGATCGTCGACAATGGCTTGATGCTATGGATGGAAGAGAGCCCGTAAGATTTCATATCATTTGACAACTTTATAATTTGTAAAATATTGATTTCAAATATGTATTGGATTTGCTAATGTTATGTAAGCAATGTATACAACTCAAATTTTGGGCGTCTCGAATTCTCATATTTGCTGTATTAGCAATTAACAAAATGACTCAAATTTGAATGACTGAATTTAAATACTGTTTTGAATCTGTGTTTATAAGACATTCCTAGTGCAATAAAAACATTATCTTTAAAATTGAAATATTACAAATGTGAAGGTAATTTTAATTATAATGAAAAAACTGATCTGATATAGTGTTTGTTATTCAATGAAAGCTAAGTATGATGCGAAAAAAATTCTAAGGATTAACTATGTATGAAATATTTTTGATATTGCCGCTATCTGATTAGTGTGCTGGGAAATTGGATATTATCTTTCTGAATATTGGATATTAGCTTTTTTGATAATTATGTTGTTATTGAATAAAACAACTGTGCTTTTTTTTTATTTCACTTCGATTCATTAATGGAGTTAAAATCATATAACTAAAGTGTATAAATTCTTTTTTTGCACTTTTTTTTGAAAACATCATAATAACATAAACAAATTTCAGATATACTCACCTGGAGCAGGACCAACATCAAATTGCCTCGGAAGTAAGCACTTTTTTTTTTTTTCGTTTTATATAACCAATAGCAAAACTAAATTTGTATAATTCTTTGTTTTTTTTCTTTTCTTTCTCCTTTTTTGATCATATCTGTGATGCATGTATGTTTAGTACAAATAGTATAATGATTCTTGCATTTTGCAATCTCAGAATTTTTTATTGATGATCCGTTTCTTATTGTTGTTTACAGTTTTTTCTTTTAGTTGTTTAGTATCAAAAATCCTAAATGATCAAATTCTTTTATTGCAAGTTTTTTTTTTTAAATGAGTAATTATTTTACTTTGATTCTTAAGTTATTTGACTTGTAGCTCAAGGTGAAGTGAAATCAGATCCACCTATTTACCAATGTTTTATTTATTCTGTTATTCTTACTTTGCAGTTTTTTTTTTTTTTTTTGTTTATCTTCAAAATTTAATACTTGAACATAATATGGAATGCCGAATCTAATGATGTCATTACATATATATTAAGCTCTCATTGTAGTCTCACTAATTCCACTGGTTAAATCATTTAATCCAGTTTGACATTTTCAGAATCCTATAATCCCTGGATATTGCTTTTGTTATTAGCGGTAGTTCCGTAAAATTTTAATTCATGAAAAATTTGCGTAATTTCTTTTTTTTGTTTTTGGATGCATTCATGAATTTTTTTTTTATCATGAAATTAAATTGGAAGAAGGAGAAAAAAAAAAGAAGAAGAATGACTTCTTTATTTCTTTTTTGAATGCTTAAAAAAAAAAATTAGTTATGCATATATCTACTACATCTGTTAGACATAACTACATAATCTTTTATGAAACATTTTTTGAACACATAAAAAAAAAAAAGAACCATATAATAATTTAAATGATGTGGAAGAAGTGAAAAAGGAATGATGGTTATTTGTAAACTTTTTTGATCATATGGAAGAAATAAAAGAGATGAGAAGCGATAAATTGAAAGATGAAAAATAGGTAGTACTTAGTTATTTATCATAATATGATATTGTATCTCTTCAAAATTTGATCTTATTTAGTTTTGTTTTTGTTTTCTTCCTTTCTAAATTTCAGATCATTTTTCTAATTTTCTAATATTTTTGTTTTGTCCTTTTATTTTACCCCACATCATTAAAATAATTCTTAAAGAAGAATTTAACGATTTTTGTTTTTGTTTTTTTTTTTCCTTTTTATTATGAACTTTAAAATCTTAAAAAGAGTTTTTGGTTTTTTTTTTTTTTTTTTTGCCTTTTTAGAAGAAAAATTAATTGAAATTACCAATTTTATGTCAATTTGTGATGTGATATGTTATGCTAGGCTTTAAAGTATGTTTGCTACAATGCTTTTTTCTTTTTTTTTTTTTTTTTTTTTATGATTTTGCTGCTATTGTTGTTTTCATAGTTATTTTTGGATGATGTGGTAGTGGTAAAAAAAAAAAAAGAAAGAATTAGTAAAAAGTACTAGCATTAGCTTTAGAAGCATATTTATTACATAACGCTGATTGCTGCTGTTTACTTCCTTATATTCTATTACATTTGTATAGAGAATATGGTAAATTATAAGAAATTTTCAAATCATTTTGTTCCATAATCGATAAAAACGATTCAATTACACCTCAAATATTTTATTCAATTTTTTTTTTATCTCAACTTTTATGCTCATGTTTACATGCTTTCATTTATATTATCACATTTTTTGAATTACATAACAGCAAGCTGTCATTGCTAACCAATTGTTAACAATTTCAAAGAAAAAAATGTACCTTTGAAAATATTTTTTTCTATTAAATTGAGATTGAAATTTAGGAATTATTTTTTGCATATATAATTGAATAAATTTACTTGAAATTTCAACTTGAAATTTTCAAAGAGAAATCAATCGATGCAAAATTAGATACGTGTTGTTGTTTTTTTGTTTTTTTTTTTTTAGAAGATTTGGGTGCATATATACATTCCTTATATCGTTAAGTTTACATTAAATCTAATACATTGAATGGTAAATATTGTAGTTTAGACTTTTTTAAAAATATTTTTCAAAATTAGTTTTTTTTTTTTTTAATAATAATTTTAATTTTTTTTAATAGTATAATTTATGTTATCTGATTTACTTTTTAGTATTAAGTATTGAATATATAAATAGAATTAATTTATGGCAAGGATGTTTCACTTTATATTATAAAACTATATGACGACGAATGACTTTCTGCATGATAGTTCGTTTCACTGTTAGTGAAAATAAAATTATTAACCATAATAATAATAAAAGAGTATTTATTTATTATATATCAATAGTTATAGAAGTAGTCAATCAATAAATAATTAAGTAATGAATTGGTCAATCTGATCATTAGTATTGATTGTAAAAATTTTTGGAGCTGGAATTTTGTGTACAGAGTAAAGATTTCAAATTTAGAATAGTTTTCTTATGAAATCAAAATGTGCGTTGTTTAATTTGCAAGAAATTCATCGAAAGAATATCTTCTATTTTCTTATGATAGATAGAAGAGATACTATTGCTATATAATATTAATTAATTAGATTTAAAAAATAGTGATAATTATATATTTTTAACCTATTATCAAATTTTACTAACTTTTTTTTTTTAGATTTAAAAAATAGTGATAATTATACATTTTTAACCTATTATCAAATTTTACTAACTTTTTTTTTTTTAATGAAATTTTTTTTTAGTCATTTTGTTGTTAGTTATAAGTGATAGTTGTTATGCAATTTCATATATTTCATTCATCAGTATGCGAGAATTTAGAAAAGCACTGAAATGGTGACTAGATTGTTGATTGACCAAAGTTGATGCGCGACACATTATGTTCTCTTTCAAGAAATCGAATAAATGCTAAAAAGCTTTGATAGAATATGATTTCATTTATTGTTTGAAGTAATTTTCATATTAACATGTAAACATGAAATAATCACATGAAATTTTATGTTAGATACATTTATAGAATTTTATTTATCTCTCATTGACATTCATTTTATTTTATACAATTATCACTTTTATTTGGCCTAATCGCTACCGTAGTTGCAAAAATCATTTATCTCCTTAAATGTTAGTAGTTTACATTTTATCATGAGCATTTTAATTTAAATTTTAGACTTACCTAATTTTGTAAAATAATTACTGCTCTCTCTCTCTCTCCCTTCCTTTCTCTCTCCCTCTCCTTGACACAGTTTTGTAGCTGAGAGATGGAATTGAATGAAAACATAAGCATATATCTTCTTTTTTTTTTTTTAAATAATGCGATCTGTTTGCTAAGTTTTAAGAACATTGGTGCACATATGGTTTCTCCTAAATTTCATCTTCTTAAAATGTTTCGTTCAAAATTTTGATTTGTTCCAGAACTACTTCTCCCGAGAGGAATTTCTCTTTTTTTTTTTTTTTTTTTTCAACTAAATTATGTCAAACTTAATAATTGGAATTTTTTTTCTCGTGTCGGAATATTTCTAAATTTCTAACATTAACTAATAGAGATAATGTTAAATTTAATAATTATAAATTATACAACATTTTATATTACTACATAGCTATTTTTATATATCTTTAACATATAGTAACGGTTTTTTTTTTATTTTTACTCACATTTCTTTGTCTCATTATACTACTATAATAAGTTTATTCTTTTGGTACCTTGATAGAATGACAAATGATAAATCTTCAAATAATATAAAATATATATTTAAGTACAAATCTTTATCAAAATTTACGCATGTTGGTTATGTTGAAAAAGCATAGGTAGGTACGTATTAGGTTTAATTAATTTTTTTACATTGAATTCTACATATGATTGTTATTTTGGAAAATAAATTCGGTAACTAGCAACATTTATTTAAATCATTTATAAAATTTAATTTCATATCTTTTTCGAATATTTTACAACGTCAATGATATTTATTATTTGCTTATTATTGTTATTGTTATTTGATAAAGAATGAATGAATGAATGAATGAAAATATTTATCTTCAACAATATTGATAAATTATTTTCATTATAGTTGTAAAATCATTTTTTTTTTTAAAAAAAAGTGGTATTAACATTATTGTAAGAAAATGTTTTTTTTTATGAAAGAAATTTTCAATCATAGAAATATATACACTCACTTTTTTTTTTTTCAAACATTCATTCATTTTCATGTTGCATATTAGTTAGTTATGCTAATCTTCATTATTGACGTCATTTTGTAATGCAAAATGAAAGATTTAGAGAGTGTGGAAGAAATTCAATACTTCATCATATAGAGGCTTAAATTTTAAAAGAATTTAGACATCTAAAAAGATAGACTAAAAATATGTATTCAATGCTTATTAAGCCTTCTTTTTTTTTTTTCTCTCTCTCTCTCTTTTTAGACATCATTATTGGTTTCAGTTTCATATAAAGAAATATTCTAGCATCAGCAACAAAAACAACAACAGCAACAACAGCAACAAATATCACTAGTATTAGTAATAGTAGTATTACTATTTTGATAATATTATTATCATAAATGATAAAATTTATCTTTAATCATATATTTTTCTGAATGAAATTGTTTCTATTCTCATCTTTAATCATTCATTTTCTGCTTTACTAAACATTCAATGCGTTCTTCATACGCAGACTTTACCCATTCTTCGGGTATTACTAATCGTCTTGATCGTACCTCAACAACTTACAATTTAACCCAAGGTTTGAGAGCTGTATATTGTGGTAGTGCATTTTTGCCGGCATTTGTATTGGATGAATGCCATGGTATTTTTTTTTTCTTTTTTCTTTTTTTAAATTTTTATTTAAAATGAACAAAGTTTTTTTCTCCTTACATTTAATCTTAATTAGATATATTTATTAATTGGTAGTCCTTTTTTTTTTTTCTTTTTTGCAGCAGTTTTGGACGATAGTGGTTTCGATTTTGTACGAAAATGTATAGAAGCAATCGAAGAAAAAGGTTTGTGAATTTTGAAAAGAAGTTAAAAATTAAATTCGAAAAAATTTAAATGATACATAAAAAATTTTCACAAGTGTTTTAATTGTATGTTATCAAATTTGAAATTATATTTTCAAATGTGAAATTATGCTATTTGAAAAGCAATATAATTATCAGTTGCTGATATTTTGAGAAAATAAGTTGCTATCATTATTAGCAATGATTGGTAATAGCTTTTCCACTTCGACAATTTTAATTTAGTTACCATAGAATTTTCTTTTTTTTTTTCTTTAGAAGTTACCGTATTGAATTATTAAAATTTGATTAACCTATTATATTTCTAACTTATTGCACTCTAATTTCTTCACTTTATCAATTTATTAAAAGCAAAAAATTGATATCTTGTGATACATTTACAGTATTGATAATACTTATTTAATGCGTTGGAATTTAAATATTACATTGGATGATATGTTAAGACTAATTAAACTTTTCTAAAATCATAGCTTTAGCTTAACATCTGTGTTTTCTATCGCATTTATTTTTTATTTTTTTTTTCCTTTCCTTTGCAAATTAATTATTTGTTTTCAAGTGATAATGGCACTTTTACTTTCAAAAAATAGAACTTTTTTTTTTCTCTCTCCCTCTCTCTCTCTCTCTCTCTCTCTTCCATACACTTCTTCTTCATTTTCAAACTGACGAATAAATTAAATTAAAGAATTGTTATTGAAGATGAGGAAAAGATTTTAATTCTGCAATACAATCTATAAATATTTTGGGAATGATAATGAATTGTAATTATTAACTTTTTAGTGCTATATTATTGGAAAAATTAGAAATTTCAACTTCATTTAAAATATTATTTTGTTCGCTATATGCCATTGGCTTAGAAAGGATCATCAATTAGTTTTTTACAACAAATTTCAAACAGCAAACATGCGAAAACATTTCATACATATGTTTTAAACTAATGTCATTGCTCAGTTTTTAGATTTATATTATAATTTGAAAGTTTGAAGAAATTCCCTTTTGCAACTTGTTAACTGCTCAAATATTTTTTCATCCTTTCTTGACATTTCTTCGTTTTCTCTAGTCAGTGAGAAGTATAAACATGCAAACATATATTAATTTGTGGTATATTTTTGTTAAAAAATGTTTAAAATTTTTTTTTTTTTTTTTTTAGGGATATGTGAACAAGGATTATATCGAAATTGTGGTGTTACATCTAAAGTGCAAAAGTTACTGCAAATTGGATTAGACAAACGACGTTCCATATATGACAAACTTAGTTTTACAGATGATGAATGGGAAATTAAAACATTGTCAAGCGCTCTTAAAACTTTTTTAAGGTTTTTTTTTTCTTTTTTTTTTCTGACATGTTGTAATGCTAATCACAATTAAAGGCTAAATGTGTTAGTCATATTTAGTTTTTTTTTTTTTCCTTTTTTGTGATCAAGAATCTAATTTATTTTTATTTTAATTATACGTAATTCTTTACACTTATAGTATTACGTTTACTTTACTTTATTGAAATTTTTGATAATTGTATTTGACATGAAAGTATTTTTCTAGCGGTTTGAAATGAAATGATGAAACTGATAATTTGAGACATAGCATTTACGCAACCACTGAATGTTTAATTTAATATTATAAACATTCGAGTTTTGTTGCATAATTTCTCACGAGATTACTCAGCCTTATATAAGTAAATTTTAATATAATTGAGACTTTAATATTTTCCAGAATATTATATTTTTTTTTAGGAATTTGCCAGAACCACTTATGACGTTTGACTTACATCATCACTTTATTAATGCCGCCAAAATGGATTCCAAAACACGTGTTTCCTATATTCACTATTTTGTCTATAAATTACCGCAAATACATTTCGAGATGTTGCAAATTATTATTGAACATCTTAAGAAGTAAATTTTTTAAGCTCTTTAAAAAGATTAAAAAAAAAAAAGAAATTATTTTTTAGTTATTAAAATTAAATTCTGCATTAAATTCCAAAAAAATAACATTATCAAATTTAATTAATATAAGATATATAAAATTAGCTGATGATATCAAAAAGAATTGTACTACTATTTGCAATTATTTTACGTTTGCTTCACTTAATTATCTATGAATTTTTTTTTTTCGCCAACTAATTTTCAATTTTATTTCATGTTTTTCTTTTTTTTTTTTTATTGTTAAATTGCAGAGTGGCAAATCGTTCCAGTGAAAATCTGATGACAGTAGGTAATCTTGCTGTTTGTTTTGGGCCAACATTATTAAGGCCAAAAGAGGAAACAATGGCAGCTATTATGGATATTAAATTTTGTAATGTAGTTGTCGAAGTGCTCATTGCAAATTATGATCTCGTTAGCTCTTTTAATATTTGTTGCATATTAATGAGGAAATTTTATCCAAGATTAAACTTACTAATTAAGAGAGATTTAATTGAGAGGGTGATAAAGCTAGGAAAATAATGCACTTAATTCATTTAGGAATTTTTAAGGTTAGAAAATTGTTAAGAAAAAAAAAACTATTATTATCTGTTTAATTTCAATAAAAAAAAAAGTGGTATAGGAAGTTGTAAGCTGTTACATGAATATTGTTCTTGGTTTATGTTTATTTATTATTTCTGTTTTTTCTTTTTTTGATAATTAAAAGTTAATTTTAAGAATTTTAGTAGAGTATTTCTTTTCCTTTTTTTTTTTGCAGATATTTAAAAATAAACCAAAAGAAATTGATAATATTCCTTGTCCAGCAAGGACTAACGATCAGGAGGAGTTGATAAATGAAAGCTCTTCTTTTGGTGAAACTGGTACTGGTCCTTCTATTGCTTTCTCAAAACAGCAAATTGTATCAATTTCTCAAGAAGAAAAACGGTAATTCATCTTTGACAATTCTTTCTTTTTGCTCAATATAATAATTCCGTAAAAAAAGAAATGATCGTATGAAGAATAAATTTGAATTAGTAATTATCACTAATTCATGAATATAAGAGAAATGAAATTAATTATTTCGTTGATTATATGAATTAATAATTGTCATTCATTGTCGAGTGACTTGATATAGATAGAGAGTTAAAATTAAAACTTCAAGAAATTACAAAAGATTACAAAAATATTTGATAAAGGAAAATATATAAATCTTATTACAGATCGCAAGCAGAAGGTATATCAATTTCCAGTAAGCGTCCACAAACAATTGCCAGTTCAAGTAAATGTCAACGTCCTCATCCTATTTACGATAGAGTGCCATATTGTTACACTGACAGTAATGATGGTATGTTTTTATTTGTCATTTGTTATTATATTTTGCATCATTAAGGTTTAAAAAAATTTTTTTTTCTCCATAATTAACTTTGTGTATTGATATGGAGAAATTTTTGAAAGATTCTTTGCTAATTTCATATTAATTTAAAATTTTTGCATTTCTTAATTTTTCATTTCTTCTTCTTCAATAAAGCCATTAATGAATACATTTTTGTGCTCATGTTGCTAAAATTATTAATCAATTTCATATTTGCATAGAAAAATTAACAGAAAAATATTTTCTACATATGTGAACGATAAATAATAGAAATAATTGCAAGAATTGACTATTAAATATTTTAATTTATGTACACATTTCTGAATTATAATAATAGATTTTGAAGATTTAAACATGAGTTCATCGAATCGTTCAATGCATACAGTAGCATACAATAAGCCGAGCACTTCTGCTGGAACATCACCTGTCACACCGATAGCTAAGAATAATTTGACATGTTCATCTTCTGCACTTACACAAAATACCACAAAGTGTCAAATGAGACAGCCTTTACGTGGACAATCTACTGCTCATTTCCGGTTTGTTCAATTTTATATGAAAAAAAAAAAAAAAGATCAAAAATTACTATTAGAAATATAAGATTTAAATTAAAAAATATTCTCAAAAATGGTTAGAAGTTTTACTACAAATCTTAGCAGTATTTGGTTTATTAAATTTGCCATTAACAAAATTTACGGTTATTTGCCGGTTATTTCAAAATTTACGGTTATTTGCCGGTTAAAAAAGTACGGTTATTTGCCATTAACAAAATTTTTTTTGTAATCCTCATTCTTATATTAATTAATTTTGTATTTTTTATAAGATATTTTATAGCAAAAAACCTATTAGTTTAAGTATTGAGGTTTTTTTTTTTTTGTTGTTGTTGTTGTTATTTCAATTGATGGTAGCATGGATATCTCTCTAATAGGAAAATTAGCAAAAGACTATAATTTCGTCTCATATTATTCGAGATCAATATGTGAATGATTTGTTTACACCATATTAAGCATTTATTAAAATAATTTTATTTATATTTAAAATTCAAATTTCAGAGGTGTCACAGAACATGAACGTCGAACATCAGTTGGGAAAAAATGTGCGGAAAGTTGGGAATCATTGAATTCAGCAAGTACTGGTTCGGATCCATTACCAAATGAACGGTTTCGTCATCATTATCCTAAAATTGCTCAGGAACGGCATACTACCACCTCTAGAGGTTACTATTTTTTTTTGTAAATTGGAAGATTAAAATTTTTTATTTGTTGTAAAATTCTTTAGCTCTGATTTGGCGCAAAAGCTGAAAGCTTCTATTTCTTATAAATGTTGTAAAATGAGAAATTCGATTTTTTTTTTTTTTTTTTATTGTAGAATATGGAAAAAAAGAAAAAGTAAACATATGTACAAAAAGATTTTTGCAATAAAAATAGGAGATAGAAAGAAGCTAAATTAAAGAGTTTTGTAATTCTTGATTTTTGTATTGAAAATGAAAATTGCATATGAGATATGAAGTGATCATTAAAATTCGAAGAAACAAGTAGCTGTAATGGTTATAAAATATCACAATGACTATGATATTTGAATTATTAAAGCATAATGTTATTTCTTGCAATTATTGTACCTAAATTTCCAAAACTAAATTAATCATTTCAACTTCTTTCACTCCAACCAATAAAGAATTTTGAAATCCATTATTTAGATCTTAGCCATTTAATTTAAGAGAACTTGTAAAGTATATTTCCAGTACCAAAAGCTAAGATCATATTTTCTCAATCAAGAATACCACATCTCGAGAACAGACATAAAAAAGACCTTTCGAAAACAGAAAAAAAAAACCAAAAAATAAAAATAAAAAAGGATAGAATTTGCTTAAGATGTTGTATTATACACCATCGTCTAACATTTCTTATCAAATGTGCTTCAACCAAAACTATATTTTTTTTTTCTATTTTTGAATCTTAATCATAACTATCTCTAATAAGAAGGTAGAACTTTTATTCATCTATTTCATTAAACATATCATTTGCTTACTTGTTAAGTATTTTAAAGCAAAGTTTTGATAATCAATTGCTTAGCTTCTTGTGCAAAGCTTAAGCGATATATGATAAAGTAAACTTTTATTTATTGTAGTTATCATCATTGATATTCATATTTCAGCTAAATTGAACACATCGTACGCTCCAGCATATAATCCATTTTCTTCTGAATCGTAAGTTTGTAATTTTTAAAATTTTTACTGTTGTTTTTTTTTCTTCTTTTTTGTGCTATTTGTATAATTTATCCTTTCTTGCTTACATTTGTTTATCTATCTTTGTGTATGTCTTATTGTTCGTTTTTTTTTTAAATGTTATTTTGCATAATAGTTACACTGAATTAAGCATGTTATAACTAACTCAGACACATCTTCTGTAAATGATAATTATAAAAAAAATTTTTTGGATTGTTCTACAAATTTTCATTTCTTAATCTCACAAAAACACAGCAAGAAGCTTGCGCAAAATTTTTTGGTGTAATTTTATAAAATTAACGGAAAGTAATGATTGGCAAGAAAAGAATATAGATGAAAGCAAAAAATGAGAAGAAAGTTCACTAAAGATTATCTTAGCTTTAATTTCGAGTAATAATTTTACTAATATCTAGCTAGTTTCATGTTTACCATTCGTAAGTTAATCTCGAAAATTACGGATGTAGTTAGAAGAAAGTGATGTCTTGATGATAACATTCCACGTACACTTCAATTTTATGTGTGTGTTTGTTTATGTTTGTAAATAACTTTTATATATTTCAGTATAGTATTAGAAATATAATAACATAACTTTTCTCCACTTATCAAATGCTTTATTTGCTTTTTTTTTTCTTCACTTTAAAAATAACTGCTACTTTCTGCTTCGTTTTTCTTTTTTTTTCAGTGAAATAAATTAAATAATTTTCCGCATTTCCGTATTTTCACTCACAGTTTCAGCTTTATCACAGCTTCTAATTTATTTTCCACAAACGCTAATAACTGTTGTAGTGGACGTCGTAAAATATCACCTTTGCCTGTGTCAAAATATCAGCAACATCGTTGTCTTGATTTATCGCGACAGTCCAAAAATGTCAATTTGCCAGACGGCGATGATGTTACGGATGATGTTAATGTTTGTGGTGATACCCCTACTGTTACCGAGGTGCTTATCAGTGATCTCAGGGTTTCACCATTGTTCACATGTACTCATACTTTGGGAGCACTTCAACCAAGGTATTAAAAGTCATCTATAAGTTAGATGTAATATTTTAAGTCATCTATAAGTTAGATGTAATATTGTAGGTTTTTATACATATTTTTTAATAGGTTTTGATAATTTAAAGTTTGTAATTAAAGAAGGCAATTTGCATGCATTTTCATACTTTTTTTTTTTTCGTAAGGTTTTTTCTAGTATTAATAAAAATAATTGAGCAAATGAATGAAATAACTAGCTGATACCTTTATTTTTTTCTATGCATGACTTTTTCTTTACCCTTTGTTTCTTTCTGTTTAAACTTTTTAAAGCAAATTTGATAAGAAAAGATTAAATTTATCACCAATTTTTATTCATCTTCAAATTATAAAAGATTATGAATTGGTTAACAATGATATTAAAAATTTCAGAACTATTTCGTTTCAACTATTCTCATAAATTTTCTTGGCATTAAATTTTAAGCATTAATTTTTAATAACATATAACTTTTACAAATTAGTAGCAATGAAAATAGGCATCAAATAATGAATAATCGTACTTATTATTGCTCATTATTTTTCTTTTTTTTTTTTTTTTTTTTTTACGAATTTTAAAATTTCCAGTCGGCGAGTGAAAACACTTTATGCATGTACAGCAGGTCACAATACTGAATTGTCTTTTCAGCCTGGACAAATTATTACTAATGGCTAGTTCTTTCTTTTTCATTCTTAAGAATATATTTGATGTTGAATTAAAGTAATACTTCTTCTAGGTATTACTTTACTCTTAGCACTTATATGTTTGAAATGTCTCTAAATTTAATACCAGAATACGATTTATTTTGAATAAATTTCTTAGTAATAACGATAAGTTGCATAAGCTTGTAAGCCTAGTATTATGTGCATTTGTAACGAACGTTTTCATCACTCAGAATAATCCGTTTTTCTTTACGAATTATAAAACCAGAATATGCCGGAAATAGCTAAAATTTTTTTTTTTTCTAAAAGAAGCTGAAATAAAACATAAACTAGAGTTCAACTGGTCTCAATTCATCTTTTTTACTATAACATATGTTAATATAAAGTGCTTTTTATGATCTTTCTAACTTAAATCATCTCTAGTAAAATCTTAAATTCTAATTCTTTTATAGTTTATGAATCAAAAGAAGATGGTTGGCTGATTGGAACTTTAAACGGAAAAACTGGTCTCATTCCAGCGAATTATGTTGAACCACTCCCATAATTTGACATTTTTCTTTACTGTTGCATTAGAATAGTGTCTTTCTTGTTCACTCTCTTACCCTAAGCCTATAATTTACGGAAATAATTATAGGCTTATTGAAAATTAAAATGACTTGACCATCAAATATATATTTTAATATTAGGATCGATGTATGTTTGTACTTTTATTGATTAATATTACGAAGATTGTTTTATTATTAGCTAGTCTCTCTCATTCTAACTTTTTTTTTTCTCACTTCAAATTATATTTCACGCTCAGAATTTAAGTATAGCAGGTAATTTCTGATAAAAAATAATTTCTTCAAGGAAGAATTATTCCTTTATAGAATCCTGGAGATTTTTCTTTCTTGTGGAATTTAATTTTCGTCGTAATGAAACGGAAGATTTTACATTCCATTTCAGTTTTATTTATTAGATTATCCGTCTTTTGGTCTCATTGATACATCTTTCACAGTCTTTCCGTCTGCTATTGAACTATTTAATTATAGCGAATGGTGTGTAGAAGATATTGTCAAATAGTCCACAGTAGCATATATTCTAATAGTAGAACATTGACCTTTAACTCTAACGGAATTTCTTTTAGCATTCACATCACTAAGATATAGTCTCGATAGAAGAACATTGTTAGATAGTTTAGAGATTAAAAATATATGAATGTACATAAGTGTTATATCGTAATAATAATTCAGGAATGCGTTGAGGTCATTGCTAAATTGTTGATATTTCTATTTTGATTATTTGTTGTAGATAAGGGCTTAAGTAATGTTTATTTATTTATGTATCTTCCCGTATTCAGTATCATATGAAATCTGCCCTTTGTGCTATTTTTTTATTTTTAATCATATTTTTTTCTATTCTCATTTCTGCGTTATTAATTCCTCTTCTCGTTATTTATTGTTTTTTTTTTCTTCACTTCATATTTGACGTGTATTTTTCGCTTTATTATTTTTTAAATTCTATCTTGATTTTGAATTATAGTTTAATATGAATACGAAATTGTATCGCATATATATACTTTCTTCCATAATATATAAAGTATGTTGTCTCCTCTGTCTCTATGTGTTCATATAGTATTTTTTCTTTTTTCAAAATTCCAAAAAGTCCTATAATTAATGTTCTTATGATAGGACAATTACTAGTCCTCAGTCTTACCAAAATTATTATACTGGGTTGATTAAATGTGGATAATGGTATCTGCAAAATGATCAGATAATTCGGGTGGTAAAGTGGATAAATAATTGCAACAAAAACATCGAATATTTATTATAACATCATAGAATATGTAACGAACTATTACTGCAGCTGATAAATGGCAGCAAATTATTTGTTTACCGACTTTTCTCTTGCGATCTCGATAAATTCTCAATTTGAATCTGCAATTAATCTTGTCTTACGAATCCAGAATTATAAATAACACGAAGAAAAAGTGTCGCAGAAATTACCTGACTTTCCACTGAAGGTTTGATGCCCAGCATACGACAAAAAAAGTAATAGAAACCACTCATTGTCACTTCATTCGCAAAAGACCCCTTAAAGCCATGAGCTTCACCTAAAATATTTAAACAGCTAGATAATTCAAACAAAGTAAAAACGAGCAAATTACATCAAATTTGTAGGTTACAAAATGCATGTGACATAAAAGATACGAAATAGATATTATTTTGCGCACATAACATTTTACGATTTTGCTGAGTAATGGAAATTCTTTCTCCACAACAAATAATCTATTCAAAATTACCTGGAAAAACAGTTAGTGAAGTAGGTATTCCTTTCATTTTTAGTGCCTCATACAACTGCATACTTTGCGTAAGTGGTACTACAGGATCATCTTCACCATGGAAAAATGCAACTGGTGTTGAAAGCTGATCAAGATGACTTAATGGTGACCTTTGCTCGTAAAGAGCTTTCTCTTCCGGAAACTTTCCAATGAGCTGTTCATTGTAACCAAGCTCAAATTTATGAGTATCCTAAATGAATTTATGAATATTTTAAATCATATATGCATATAAGAAATCTGCATTCAATGACGTTGAATCATTTTATTGAATAAATTCTGATTGTTTTCAAATTCAAACTCACTTTTGCCAAACCAATTAAATCGCTCACACCGTAGAGTGAGGCTGCCGCAGAAAATAAATTAGATTTTAAAATAGTAGCAAGAAGAAGATAACCGCCTGCTGAGCTACCCATAATACATAGTCGTTTCGGATCAACTCGCTTCTGAGAAATTAAATAACTAGCAGCATTAATCATATCATTTCTGTCAACGATACCCCAATTACGTCGTAGCATATTACGGAAAACTGTCCCGAAACCTGTGAATTTAATTAATCTATAATTGTTATCTGGAATATGCTCTAACATTATTACTTTAAAATAAGTGCTTATTTGCATGTATCTTCAAATAGTAACATGTTTACTGTTGTTTTTCGAGTATTTAAGTATCTATATAAAAATAAGTGATGTTACATCTTACTTCTTATATTGGAACAAAACATTAAGAATATAATTTAAAATATTAAATATCGAACCAGTGGAACCACGATAGTTGACATCACAAACAGCAAAACCTCTTGTAGTTAAGTACTGAATTCTCATATCAAGAGTGTTCGGAGAACAAGCTGTAGGTCCGCCATGTGCAACTAGAACAACAGGTGGTAAAGTACCTTCTGGAGCTGCATATTTTTTGGACTGCAATTATTCAGTTATGAAAGTAGGAATGAATGATTTTAAACTTATTATATGACTAATTAACTTCGAAGGACTAATTCTAAAATCAGAAGTCATCCATTCAAATAATATCAATTCTAGCAAATTTGATGATAAAGTATTATTGCATTTTTCCAAACAATCTTGACCAAAATTATATTAATTAAAATAACAGAATGTGTCATAACAATTCATGCAACATTATAAAAATGATCCAGATTGAAAGAATTTTTTAAATCCATGTTCTCCTGAATATATTATTTTAAACTTTTCCATTAATAATCCGAATTTTTCAAAGGCAATTTCGATCTAAAAACATATTATCTGATGAAAATTCTTACGAATGGTGGATAAAACCAAGCTTGTACAGTAATACCATCTGACTGAAAATGCATCGATTCCGGTATTGAAATATCATACTTTTCAATATCACTAGAAGGTCGTGATTCTCGAAGAATATCCACCTATATATGATATTTATAGTTTGCTAAAACCATAAAGTTGTCTATTTATTTCCTACTAAGAAAGCTCACGAAACTACCAACAGTTCAATTATTATTTGAATAATATGAGTTTGACCACTTCATATGCAGCAATTCCTCATCAAAACCAAAAAAGTTTCTTAAATGATCGTAAAGAAGCAAAATTTAAAACACTCAACAAAAAAAATACATATCATTCACTGACACTGAACCTAATGCTGCAGTAATAATAACCTTCTCTGTATCCAGCTGAATTCTGATTACTGATGAAGATTTGGCCGGTCCTGAAGCGATCGCATAAGCAGTACCACTTTCGTCTAGAGCGAGGCATTTGAAACTTGTGTAATGCGAGCAGTCAATCGTCTTAACTTCTTTATTCCATTGTTTATATACTAATTTTCCGGAAACGTTCATGAAAATTCCTATAAGATTGCCAATGTGTATAAAAAATTCTAACAGTGTATTAAAATTACAAAAAATATGAATAACGAAGATATTTTTAAATTAGAAATGCACATAATATGACGGATATTTCACATAAATAATTACCTACAGTTATGCTTACAAAGATATCAATGTAGTAAACATAAATAAAAATAACCCATTTTATTTGAAGCAAAATGTCGCTCAGCAAATTGCCAAAGTGGAGCACCAATTTCAGCATCAACTGGAAATAAGTTTTGGCCCAATTTAAGTTCAGCCAAGTTGACCTACAAAGACGGAATTCATGATATTTTAACATTAAAAATGCAATTTTATTAGATCGAGTAAGAATATTTGTTCGCTTTTTCGAGAGAAATATAAAAGTTCTCATGAAAGAAAGACGCATAACAAATTTATGGAACAAAAAAAAAAAAATCCGTTCTCTTAATACACTCAAAGATGAAAAAAAAACCTCATATACATTCCACCAATTCGTATGATCCGAAATTAAATACAAATTGCCAGCTGAATTCCACTCCGGACTATGATAATTGACACCTTTACGAGAAATTCGATAAAACTCGTCAATATCACCATTTTCTTTAATTGAAGAAATAACAACAGTTGTTTCGTCCCATGGCTGTGAAATACGAATAACTAAACTTCTACAGGTGAAATGCATAATTTCCTAGATTTTTTATTTCAAAGTTTTTGAAATTTCTATAGCTAGTTTTAAAAGGCATTGAATGGATGTAAGTCTTCTTAGATTCACTTACAAATATTTCGAACATATATTCACTTACGAATTAATACACGAATGCGTTTATTAATGATTATCAAATGCATATTGCATTTTGATTCCACAATAATTTTTGAAATCAAATGAAAATTTCACACCATATTTGGCATATTCCATTCCATCCACGTTAACCATTGCCCATCAGGACTTATTCGAGGAAACGCGTAAAAGTCTGCACCAGTGACCTAAGATTTGATGTACGGTTCTAAATTTCTAAATACAAAAACAGGATAAACAAATTCAAGCTAACAAGTAAAATACAAAATAAATTTATTTAAAGTTACTTACAATAGGTCGAACGGCACCATCTACGATTTGCACGATCATATTTTCGACTTCATTTCCAGAATGCACCTCATGAACGGCATATAAGATACCCTTAAATTTTATTTTTGATTACTGACTGTTTAGCTATAACGATTTATTAAGAAATAAATCAATCTCCATTTTTCCAGTACAGTCGAGAAACACATACCTTGTGATAACACAAATCTGCGAAACGATGTGAGTAATCACCAGCAACAACCAACTCGGGTTCACTGTCTGCAGTAATCTGCCTAAATATACCGTCCACAGTGATATAATAAG